TAGCTGGTATAACCAAAACATAGAACAAAAATTAATCACAGAGTAACAACACACAATCTGCTAGGAAAGTAATGGGCTATTTCAAGATGTAATCAAGAGGCTACATCAGGTCTAACTATGCTCCAAGTTTTCACTGATGTAATACACATATTATTATTTGTATGCACACATAATAATACACGTATTATTATACACGTAATTAACATGTATGTAATACATATATTTAGCAAATGGGGAGTAATCGCAAGTCCACTGAAGAACAAAGTTGGGATTCTAAATGCTCTAATATCAGCTGACATCAAATCAATATTTAGCACTTTGCATTGTCTCTTGCAAAAGAAAAAGCAAAAGCAAAAATACAAAATCAGAAAAAAAGTTGTATGGCAGCGGTATTAATAGAAAAAAAAAAAAAAAGGTCCTGCAGGTCCTACTAAAATGGCACCATCTGACTATGAATTACCAACCTGACACTGCAGAAAAAGACAAATCTCTTTCCAGAATGAATTAACAGGCATATTTATGTAGCAAATCCTCCCCTACATCTTTTTGAGCTAAATAAAGATGACTAGATGACTAAAGATGACTAAAGATGAACATCATAATACTGTCCATCACCTAACAGACTGCTACAGGGTGACAGCAATTGCTTAAGCTGCTTTTTTGTTATGTTACAGCAAGTACTTACTCCTGCTAAGTAAAGCACAGGTTATTATAAGAAAAGCATTCTAACTTTAAAGCTATTTTTTTCTTTAGACCTGTAAATATAGCCCCACCTAGTGGTTGTTGACTTCTTCCATAGGGGAAAAAAAAACTGACTTTCAGTCTTGCACAGATGTTTTTCATTGTATTTATTTGTACTTGATAGACACAGCTGAGAAACTGAAAACAAAGACAATTGCAGTTGCATGACCACATATCTCTGTGTGCTACCTGAAGAGGCCGGGAAGAGAGTTTCTAGGTATCCCTCACCTTTTGAGACAGCACACCAAGCTCAGCATCAAACTTCAACCTGTTATTAGAAAGCTTAGCCCTTTGTATTTTGAATTTTAACATGACATGTGTTTTCTCATATTCTGTTATTAAGATGTTTCCAAGCAGAGACTGCTACAGATACATGCTGACTTCTCCCGTTCAGGAGTCCCATATCAGCTGCTGAGTCAATCCTCAGCTGAATGTTGGAGGCATAGGCAGTGTTTTGGGAACGAGACTGCAGAAAGAAAGAAGAAGAGCAGGTCTGATTAGCTCTGACAAAGCAGAATCCATTAGGACAATCCTGTAATAAAAGGATCTTGTTTCCTCTGCCATGGTAGGCCCCACTGAGATCACCCTGAGAAAAAACAGAATGGCTCCCATATATTAAACCCCAATGAGGACCTTTCCTGTCTCACGGGTGCAGCCCCAAGCAGCAAAAAATGGCAGTCTTCAAAGGTGTCCCCAGCACTGGTCCCAGAGCAATCTTCTGACAAAAGGTCTGATTTGCTCTTGCCCACCTTAGAACAACTTCACACAGTGTGCAGTTCAGTTCCTTGCTAATAATTTTACTGATGCAGGAAAGAACAGGGAAAAGAGAGGAGAAGACAAGAAGACAGAGAAAACAAAACCACAACCAAACAATAATACAGCCCGATGCCCATTTTTCCAAAAAGTAAACAAAATAGAGTTACTTTGGGTAAAATGAAAAATTATTGGCTCATCTCAATAATCAGCAGCAGTAATGCCTTCATACAAAAGGTTTTTAGCATCTAGAGACATGCTAAAATGGAAAGATGCACATACTTGAATCTTTTAGAAAATGTAGAGCACTGCATTACCTTCTGTTGATAAGATACACATTTAGGAGTTATCGATCCCAATACTAGAATAAATCTGAAGAAAAGCAATGGTGGAGGAGAAAACTAAACAACTCTAGGCAGCTTTACAAAGAAAAGGAGGTTCAGGAAAAACCTGTTGTCTATCCTCTCTGATCCAGCAACGCCTCAGATTCTGTGATTTGAGGCTGCAGCCTTAGGGCACAATTGCTAGCTCTAGCCTTCCTTTTTTGTTCATAAACACAGCTCACTTCTCTTCAGGCCAGCGGAGACCAATGAACACCAGCAACACAAGCAACCTCTACTCCTTCCTGATTAGAAGTACAGTAATGTGGAACAGTAAAGTATAAGAGGCTGCAATAAGCAAAAGAAAGGGTAAAAAAAAGGTAAGCAATTGCATAAGGAGGAAGAAGAGGAACCAATGAATTACAAAGGGAGGAAAAAGAAAGCAACAGGAAAAAAAAAAGGTTCCTGTAGCAATTTCGCCATTTTGCCATTAAATAACAATGACAGAAGGAGAGTAGGAAAAAAAAAGCCTATTGAATAAGACCAGTAATGCAGCAAATAAAAGGCAAATTCAAAGAAACAAAGAGAGGACCACTTGAAAAAGTTGTATATGAACAGAAGGCACTAAATATGTATGTGCGTGTTCTGGGGGTGAGGGAAAGGAATATAAATCAGAGACATTAGTGAAGTATGAGGCACTACAGAATCATAGGAAAGTAACAGAGAGTGTTGAGCTCCAGAGTGATTTTCAAGAAGGACACCATGAAGATATAATTTTGTTAAAGAGATTTGTGTAATCTCTGTTTGAGATTACTTTTACTTCAGCAAAAATTACTACAACTACAACAACATAGGCACCTCTCAGAATTTTTTTCTGACAGTCTTCAACAAGTGTGTTGCTTAACCCCTTCATTCTCATGTAAGGAAAAGGCAAAATGTGCTCACTTGGTTCATCAGAAAACCAAAACAAAATGAGCAAACAAAAAGTCACTACAATATCACAGCACAGAGAAGAACCAGAACAAACAGTCCCAGCCTGCAGGATTATCTGTCCACTGCAGCCTCCAGAACCAATGCTGTCTGGCAGGTAATAGCATAAGAGACTGTTGCAAAGAGAAGCTCTAAGCCCTGTAACAATTCAGGAAAGAAGTCATGTAGGGCAATTGCAACACGTGCTTGAAAAGACTGTGCCGATTCATCTCTCTACAACTCTTCTTTCTTCATAAAAGAAACTTTGTCAAAAAAGCAGAGCAGGCTGCATTCTTTTATCTGCCCCTCACTGTAGCAAGGACACAAACTGATAGGAAAGACAAGAAAGATGGACAAGAGGTTTGGTACCTTCAAATTCCACATGCTTTTTTCCTATACCACCTCCACACAACTAATAGCTGCCTAAACTGTAATAAGAAGTTACATTGAGTCTGTCTTTTTACCAGAGATTGCAGTGCCCATGGCAGAGACAGAGCACAGAATGGGCCTGTTTCTCAGCTGCCAAAGTTCACCGTCTGAATGTTTGATTCAGGTCACATTTATACACCACAATGTGAAGCAAGGGGTGTTGCTTATCAGCAGAAAGGTAGACTGTTGGCTGTAACACGTCAAGCTGTCCCAATGTAAGTTGTCAGAGGTCATTTGGTACCACCCTTCACTTCTGCAGAGCTTTTCCACATGCTATTTAATAAATAAACAGCAATGGTAGCATCCCACTTAACTGCTTTGTGTAGCAGTTAACACAAGGCCTACAAATCATTTTAAAAGTCACTGATTACTCACATTTGAATGGCATCAAGCCCTGCCATCTTCATCTTCACCAGGCGGTCTTTCCAGTAATAGCGGGGAATCCGCGAGTAGTGAATGCTGCCTGAGATGTAACGGAAAGGGCTCCCATCCTTGACAAAGCAGTTACAGTCATAATCGATACCAAAACTTCTCTGGGGTATATTCTGCACGCAAAAAAAGAAAGAAAAGGTTACAAAACATAAGCTTCTTCTGCCATGAAAGACATGGAAAATCACCTATATAACAACAGCGCTAAGATGCCTTGAATAGGAGGTACAACGGGGTTAAAATAAGTGGTGTAGCATGGCTCTGCACTCCGTAAGTAGTGCACTGAGCCTAGTAGACCTTGGTCTAAACACAACACATTTGCAGGTAGGCAGCAAGGACAGGATTCAGTGTTATGCCAAAATATGCCACAGAGGTTCTCAACTTTTAGCAATTATATAGCAGCATCTTTCTACATTGACACATTTTGCAGTTGCTTATACCAGCACAAACGATGCTGAACTAAAAAGGACAGGTTTACTGATTTGGTGAAAGCCAGTTCTTGGCACCCAATGTATCAACTCCCTGAACTTATGGGAAACATAACCTTATTTCCCACTTAATGTCTCACTGAGGTCTAGACACGCTTGACAGCCAGATGCTTCTGAGGAACAAATACCATACTCCAAATGCTCCAGGGCACTGTTGGAAAGCTTATTTTCTAGTAAGTAAAGGTTTATTGTCTGGGAAATTGCATATGTTTATGAGAATCACTAAAGATTACCCACTTCTGGAGATGCAGAAAAAGTGGTAAAGAAAAGAAGATTTAGTAAGACATCTGGCCAGAAAATATGTGAATCACCACTAAACAGGATGTATCATCTATGAAGATAAGAGTGTATTGTAAAGCACAAGCAATACCTGGTACTGCTTTCCATACTTTTCTAGCTAAATATGCCTAAAACATTTACAATAGTAAACTTAAAAAAGTAGGAAAATTAGGAATAAGGATCTGCATTTCCTACCCAAAGCAATACCTTAACTCCAGAAACATGGGATCACTCCTCAAATAAACCTGTGACTTTTAATAAGATTCAAACTGCTATGATCAATAGTAACACTTTGGCATCAAGTAACTTGCTAAATACAAGGACTTTAAAAAAAAAATCTTTTTTTGCCTTGTCCTATGCCTTCAAAAAGCATAAAAAACCTTAGCATCTCACATCTTACATTTCTCTCACATATTCCTGTCATTCTTACGACAAGAATTAGTTTTGTCCTCCACAAACTACATCAGACTATTGGCTAAAAATGGCTGCATGTTCTATGACTTTGCAGTTGCATTTTATTATTTTATTAGATTCAATATGGAGCACACGGGAGATAAAGAACTGTTCAGAAAAAAAAGAAAGAAAAAAAGAACACACATGATCATTCAAGGTTACACTGCTCCAAGGGAAGCAATCCAAAAGCTACTGAAAGGCACTGGCTTGTCTTACCCTGGAGGAGAGGGGCCTGGGCTTGCCCCACGCAGAGAAGGGAGCTTAGCAATAAGGAAACTGATTCACTGATGATGGTGGAAAGGGAGATGCAAGTCACCACACAGGCCCAGGTGGCCCCACTACACCTGAGGTATCCACCATCTGCGGAGCTCTGCCCATGGATGATGAGTAGCGACCAACAGGCAGCAGAGCTGTGAAGAACCTACTCCATGAAGCCACTTTGTCCAGCTCACTGGTAAGCAATTCAGTTACAGCTGCATGTACAACTACAGAAAAAGTAAAGAGAAAGGAATGGAAGGAGTGAAATACAGCAAGGAAATATAACCATAAGGCTCCAAGTCCTGAAACTTCTGTCCAACGCCACTACCTCCAACTGGGAAGAGACTTTTAGCGCGACACCGTAGCAAACGGAGCCAGTGCCCTGCGAGGCAGTGTCACGGGTCAGAATAAAAAGAGCACGAAGTACAGGGCAGAGTACAAACCGCACTCCCCAGAGAGCTAGAGAAAGAAATTGCTGAGTAAATGTGACTATCCCTATGCTATCAGCAAAAGGAGCAACTGAATGAGGTGACACTTCAAAACATTTGAAGACTACGAGCTGCAAGAAGGAGGAAGCCTGCAGTGTGTTGCAACTATGGTATAAGCAATGTCTTAATAGAAAGCCTAAAATCAAGCCGTGGAGTGTGTCTTATATGTGCAAAACAATGTAAAATACTCTGCCAAAGCCAAACAAGTGCCATATAAAAACATGGCACGTGGTGACTGTATATATTAGATGGCAAAAGACTGCTGCCCTCAGCACAGTTAAAAGAGCTGTGAGACTGAAAAGACTGCCAAGTATCTGCATAGTGGAGGCTTTTTAAGCTTCAGTCGCACAAACACAGACCTATTCTTAACATTGCTTAACAAAAACGGTTTCACAGACATTGAGATAACTCTCCACAAAGATATGCACATACCCTGTGTCCATAAAATCGGGGCCTTACAGAGCTAAGAAATACAAACAACACATCCCCCAATGCTCTGGGACAAAAGTAACTCAAATGTGGGCGTTCTCCCCAGGGAACTAGGTTGTAATAATTCCAGCCTGTTAAATCTCAACTAAATTGCCACTGCAAACAATGCACCGATATATATGGGTCTGATTATAAAAAAAAAAAAAGGTGAAAAAAAGGGAGAGTCGTGGTGGGGAATGGCCAGGAGCCACTGTGTCAGCAATCTGTTCTTCTATTGTGGCATTTCTTGACTTTATATAGGGATTTTAATTTTGTCTTGCAGATGCAACTATGAAAAGATTTGGAAGTTCAAAAAAAAAGTCCAAAAAAACTGCTGCTGTTCCCCTCTCTAGCTCTGGCTCCCAGACTAACCGCATCAGAGGCCTGTGGAAGAGCCACTTGCTTCGTTGACAGCAAACGGCTGCTGAGAGGCGCTGAACGTTGACTCAGCAGGTTACCTAGCTCCACTCTGAGGACAGACATCTCTGGCACAGAAGCCAGAATTTCTTCAAACAGTTAATGGAAGTGATCATCACCGAACCAGTTAGCAGTTAAGGACAATGTTTTTAAGGCTGCAAACATATCTGTAAATGACCTTGCTTGTATGTAAACCTCATGGTACAGAATTTTTAACACACACACACACACACACTCTCAGATTCACCTCATTCACTGCCTGTAATGAGCAGGCCTCTCATTGTGCACAACTCTACCTGTTATTTACAGTGTGTAGTATAGGGCCCGCAGTGAGAAAAAAAAGACAAAGCGTTTCTCATCACAAATTTATGCCTGGATATGTCAATATTGTATATTTGTGACTGTTACCATACTGCAGGAATGAATTCTCTCCATCTCTCTAGCAGATGAGGTAGTGAATCTACTGGTTTGTTAGGTGGATTTTACAGGTACAGCTTAACTGCACACTGCTGTCTCATCCATGCTTTATCAAACTGGTGCCTAGCTGGAAATTCAGACCCTGGGTACATAGGTACAGTGTTGCATCTCACATATTCCCATGGAAAAGTATAGAACTAAGGAATGGTCTTTCTTATAGCAAGTAAGTGATCTCTTTTGCAAACTTAATGCTCTGCATGGTATCTAATGCATACTTCTCTCAACTTAGAAAGCACAGTTTTAGCACAGTTTGTGTGTCAAAAATGTTCTGTATAAACTCCTACAACAAATACTGTTATAAAATAAAAGATCATTAGAGGCATCTTTCTTGACAAGTGAATAAAGTTTTATTAAATCCCATTTTTTAAAGCATTTATTATACCACAATTAACAAATTTTCAAATCCACGCTCCATGATCATATATTGTAATAAATACAACTTTCTCAAGTTATTATTCTATTCTGTCATAATTCTGGCAGCGCTTAACATCCCCCCCTCAAATGAACTGGCCTTGTGGTAGGAAGATATATATATTCTTTTGGTTAAATTCTCCAAAGCATATACATTCCACACACACACAGACACAAAAAAAAAAAAACCTTGAAAATTACAAAATTAGCAGCACACCAAATTCCTTTATCTTCTTTCATATTGAAGGTAGTTCTAAATCATAGACATCCAAGTCAAACTGGAACAAGTACAGAGGAAGACTTCAAAGACAATTAGGGATTGCTGTCTTAGATTTTGGAAAAGCTTAATTTTGTCTTTTTTGAAAAAAAGAAAAAAAGTATTATGTGATATTTTCCCATTTCTACTTTGAAAAAAAAAAAAAAGGCGCTATGAAATGTCTAGTGTGCTTATCACAGCAATAACCCTAGGTATAACAAATGAAAAATACCTTACTGGATAACTGGAGGAAACGCTCTGCACTACTACATATGCAACACATTTATGAAGGCAGGCACTTTGGGAAGAAAAAGAGAGGCCACAGGACATCAAGCCTCTCCGAGCTCCATAAGGCCATTTGATGTCACTGATGGTAAAAAGCCAAAAGGATCCCCCAAAAAGGCAATGAACACTGTTACACACATACGGAAACTGAAATACTTAAGCACATAGTGTTGCAAAGCATAAAAACAGTTTACAGAATTACAGGCACTGTGAAACTGAAATGATCTGGTCTGACATGTAAACAGGCTGGCTGCTCAGGTATTAGATTTTCAGACTAAAAGCAGGCCGACTTCCCCTGCTTTTTAACCAGTCTTCCAATGCACATACTCTATTCGCTAGTATGCTCTTATAGTATTTCTCAATATTCCCATGAGCAAAAATGAAAGATGTTCTTAGTGAGCAGCAGGATACAAAAATCATTCAGCAGGTAGAAATTCAGGCTTGCGGGGCTGAAGGCAGCAGATGAGATGAAACTTCAGATTTGCCACTTACAGGAAAAATACACTTTTATAAAGCCTGTGGTCCTCCTCCCCCTTCCCCTCACAGCACGGGCTGAAGAACAGAAGCGTCTGGTTCCGGATCACACCAGAAGGCAGAAGGACACTGAACAGCTTTGATGCTGCTGCCCTGGGGCTCCCGGATGAGCCCTAGGCCGTCACCCACTCAGCTCCAGCTGAGAGGAACCAGGGGCAGGAAGCAGCACACGAGCCCCTGCGGCTGCAGGATCAGAGGCAGGAGCAGGATTCCCAGGCTTACGGTGCCTCCGGCATTTCTTACTGCACTGCTGAGGTGGAAGGAGGAAGCAGAGCAAACTATTTCATCAGGCTGCATAACACCTACTCATTGACTTGCATGCTGGTTCTCTAACAAGGGCATAAAGTTTGGAAAGCAAGAAAGCAGGGGTTTTTTGTTTGTTTCTTTTTAGTCTATCACATTTCCCAGAATTACATCAATTTATGTTAGACTTTCTAGGAAAAGCAGAGAAATTCACCATTCCTCATTATCCTCTAACAGTTGTTCTGTTGTGTGTCTATCGGAGAACCAGGATGACGATATGCAAAGTTACCTTCTGTGAAGTGTGGTTTTCTTAAAAAGGACACCACATACTTGAAATGTAAAAACCTTAATTAAAAAAAAATCACTTAACATGTATTGAATAATTATACTGAATATCATTTGCCTCATTTTCCAGTAGTTTCTTCTTACTTTTCTAAGAGAAAAATCAGCAAAAAGAGAAATTAAGCACAAACAAAAAACACTGAATGGGGCGGGGGGGGGAAGAGGCTCTGCATTTCACCTTTGCAAACAAACAGCTCAGCTACTAAATGCTCAGACAGCAGTAGAATTAAGGGCTAATTAAGGATTTGGTTTCATATGCTTTTATTGGGGTAAATTTCAGTCAGTAATTAATAGGTACCAAGGCCTGCAGAAAGGCAGCTACTTCCACCCTCTCATGCCTGTCTGCACAGGTTTTTGACTGGAAAAATAACAAACCCAAGAACTGTGCAACACCACTACCTGGTACCTGATTTCACTGGCAAAGCCACTCAGACTGGGAGCTTCACTGCATGCTACAGAGAGACAGTGGAACAGATGATCTAAGGATGCCTGCCTCAGTCAAAAACACGTGTTCTTTTCCAGTAACACTTTTAACACAAGGCTTCTAGAGTTTAGATACTCAACAGACACTCTGCAATGCCCTCCACAAAACACACATGCCTAATTTCAATGCAAGAGCTTCACCTCTCTGATATTTAACAAGGGGCAGCTGCCTACCACATAAGGTAAGCAGCAGAACATGAACTAGCCGCAGGATACAGATATTGCTAAACATGCACAGCACAGACATTATTTCCATGACATCAGTGTTATCCTTAAATGCAGAACCTCAAAAAAGTAACGAACATAAAGAATTAATTTCTTCAGCACTTCAACATGCCCCTGATTTGTCAAACAACCTAATACAGTTAGTGTTTTTTCCTTAAACTTAACCAGAAGTGCTGGATGCACCCATCCTAACACATCTTCCGTGACTTCCCTGAAAAAGGATTTGCTTCCAGAGCAAAAGAGCCAAAATACTGACCAACAAAGATGGCAGAAGTCTGTCAGCTGGGAGACTCCTCAAGGAGAACGCAGAATTATTTCTGTTATTTCAGCTCTGCTGCCCAGCCTCATGGGTATTCCAAAGTACATCGTCCCTGGGCTGACATAGACAAAGGTGTTCTGCCCAACTTTGTACAAGCCAACAAAGAAGGGGTTCAGAAAATAAGCCCCAGCATTTAGCGGGAACATCTGCCCTCCATGAGTATGGCCAGAGAGGATTAAATTTATGTCTGGCCTCTCCTGAAGGGCCCACTTTGCAGCAACTGGCTGATGAGCTAACAGTACTATGGCACGCTCACTGCCACAGTCACGGAGAGCTTTCTTTAAATCCATGCCATGGCCCGAGTAGCGTAACGTGTGTGCCTCAATATCATCAACACCAGCCAGGCAGAACCAGTCGTCGGTGCTCTTGGGTGAAACAATCTTCACATTCTCATTGTGGAGGGGCCTAATGTTGAATGATTTCAACAGTTCAAACCAGTTGCTGACATCTGATGTGTAATATTCATGGTTTCCTGTGACAAAGTAAGTCCCTAAAGGAGAATTAAGTTCTCCAAGAGGTTCAACAGCAGGTCGCATGATTTGCGCCTCGGAGTCCGTCAGGTCCCCCACAATCACCGTGATATCTGGTTTCAAGGCCTTAACCATTCTCACAATCATGGCAAGCTTGGTCTTCCCGACCGTGGGCCCCAGGTGGATGTCCGAGAGCAACACCACTTTCAGGTTATTCATTGTTGATGGCAGCTTGTGAACTGGAATCTCCACTGAATTCACAGCTGGAGGCTGGGAAGCATTTAACAGCCCAACAATGGTCAGCACAACAGTGAGCATGACTGACAAAATTGGCTTCATTGCTGTTCTGCTATTCTTATTGCCACTGCCTGCCTTAGCACTTCTCCCAGCCAAGAACTTAAAAGCCTGCTCTACAGAGCCTAGAGTGAAGAGAAAGAAGATAAGAAGAATATAGGCCCCTAGGCAGGTGTAGGCAGCTAAAGAAAAGAAATAGGGCTCTTCTGCAACAAGAAACAGCACCGTAAAGAAGCTCGAATGTGCCAAAGCTAGAAACATCAACACAGCTATTTTCCATGTCATGAAACATAAGGAGGTAGCAGCTGAAGACCTGGAGAACATGGTGACTGTGCTTCTCCATACATGACGAGATCCTATCAACATGAGCATGTTGACGAACAGTAGCATCTGCAACCTCACAAGCCGACGGCGTGTCTTGAGCTCCAGTTGTTCTGCTAGGTAGCTCCGCGATAGCATCGTGGAGAAGAAAACCACACCTGCAGCCACTGCAGCCTTCGCTTCAAAGGGCAGTTGCTTGAAGGAGATCATCTTTGCTTCCTTCTGTTCTGTGGGAGTCTCCAGCAGGCAATAATGTGGTTATGAAAGGATGCCTTGGGTCAACAAAGCCTGCAATCAGGAACCAGTATCAGCCTTTTTTAAAATATTACATGCACCCCCTCTTTCCCAGACTACAGCCAAGGGTATCACTGTGCGCGATCCACCCAAGAGACTGGATCATGCAGAATCACTATCATAAAGACAGGGAGGAGATGTACCAATGCAGAGTAAATCATATACCTGAAAACAAAGAATTCTGACAGATGGGTTCAAAGATTTCTGACTGCCTCCCTCAAGGGGCCCTCCCACCATTTTTATTCCCTTTTTTTTTTTTTTTTTAAATGATAGTGCCCCTTTAATGTTTCCTTAAAAGAGCTGGCAGCAGATCACAACAATGATACAGCAGGATCTGGAAATAATCACTAGAGCATTCCAAAGTCCTGGTCACGTTCTGTGACTAAGTCGCCTCTCCTGTTAACCCAGTGCATGAACTTCCTGTTCTTCTTATCAAGCAGTTGGCTCAATCTCAAAAGCAGTTATCAATGTACATCGCCCTTACTGAACACAAGGGCTTTTACTAACACGTTCTACAGCAGCAGTGAAATCTCTACTGGAGTGACTATCAAAAGCAACTGCAGCCCTAGAAATTGCAGATATTAGGAAATATTCTTGTCTTCAATTCTGAGTTTTAGGAATTACCCAAAGTTCTCAAAATTGGTAGGAACAGTGAAATCCACATTTTATACTATTATTTAAAACAAATCCAGCTATTTTATTTTAATCAAAGATGAAATAAAATGGAACATCTTTCACTACCTGCAACAGGGATCAAGTTTAAGGTTTTGCAGCTAGCCTAGTTTAAGTCACACAGTAGCATGTGCTTACTTTCAAAACGCTTTCTGTCTCTCAGTCCATACTCAACCGGAAGAAGAGCAAGCAATCATTACAGCCAAAAGTACTACAGAACTAGGACACGAAAGCAGCCCTGTGAGGTTCCGCAGTGAGCTCAGAAATTTGCAAACACAAGTGAGCCAGAATGCTCATCTGTAGCGTACATTTTCCCAAGCTAATTTAAAGAAACATTATTAGCATTAGCAATATTTTTAAGGACTAAGCCAGGATTTTGCTAGACCCTCTCCCTCACAGATTGTTCAGGGAGCTACAGGTTGACACAGTCTCATCTCCTCAAGCCTTCTTAGCTGTTACAAAAACATTCTTACAAAAAAATACTATTGTACATATTTGCTTTTACAGGAAATAAAGCTAGAAGGATAAGAGTACAAGAAACATCTTTCTCCAGACTCCTGCAGTAGCAAATTCCAGAAATTCACTATCTCCTTTATAAAGTGCTTTACCCATTTGCAACTTCTCTGTTAGTTATACCAAGTGCTTCTATCCCAACACTACTACATTTGGGATCAGTTTTCCATTGGTCTTATCCATCAGCTCAGTCATGACCCCAACCCTGCGAGATCACAACTTTTTAAATATTCCCTTTGATAAGTATCTCTCACAAAGCTCTGCTTTTTCACATCATTTTAACCACCAGTCAATGAAAAACATGCATCCAAATATCTCCTAACAGTTTGCTCCAAACTGAAATTCCGGCTGCCAAAGCATGGCTCTCTCAACACCGGTAAGGGTCAAGGATTTCCCTAGACCTCTAGCTAGACACTGGCACGCAAACAGAGAGGCAACCAAAACACAGCACAGGGGTGGACGTACCTCCTTCTTCCCACACACCCCAGAAGCAGCAAGGTTTCCTGTGCCATCACCTAATGGAGCGCAGCTATCTAGTAAGAGCAACTCCCTTCCCACTCCCCTGCTCCAAGGCCGGCCCAGTTAGACCCAATAACACAGCACTTGGAGAAGCAAAGTCCAAACAGCAGCAGGAGAAGTAGCAAGGCAGCAGCACAGCTTGAGGGACACCCTGAGCAGCAGTGTCTGAGGCCAGCGGTCACCTCCACGACCGAGGACGAATCTCTGCTGTAAGGGACCGACTTAATCCGCGAAAACGGAAAAAGGCCGCGAACGGACCCCCAACTACCGGGGAGGCGGGACGCGGGCCCCGGCGTCCCCCACTGCTGCCAACG